TTAAATCGGACGAAAATATATGTAGGAGCAATATCTAACTTTGAACCGATTTCCACGAAACTTAGCACACATCATTCTAGACTTTATTCAGTACGCTATACCAAATTTCGTGAAAATCGATATATATATATATATATATAGGGAATTTTGTGTAGCATTTACATTAAATCGGATGAAAATATATATTGGAGCTATATCTAAATTTGAACCGATTTTCACACATCATTATTGACATAATTCAGTACACTATGCCAAATTTCGTGCAAATCGAAAGATATATAGGGACTTTGGTGTACAATTTACCTTAAATCGGACGGAAATATATGGAAGCTATATCTTAATCTGGACCGATTTTCATCGAAGGTTATCTAGGGACCGTTTACATTAAATCGGGCGAAAATATATATGGAAGCTATATCTAAATCTGAACCGATTTCCCAATTTCAATAGGTTTCGTCCTTGGGCCAAATAAGTGACTTGTGCCAAATTTCATCCAATTCGGATCGTAAATGCGACTTGTACTTTGTTTACAATTTAAATCGACTCAGAAAGTGATTCTATGCATATTCTCAAAAGGAACCATGTGTCTATCTAGTTTCTTTCTGCCTGTTACAAACATACGCACAAATAAAGTATACATTTTCATGATCCGAATGAAATGCTAGCCATGTTCGCATATCTGTTGAAATCACTATTGACAGGAATTGTTACTAATTCTAGGATGTTTGGTAATGAAAATGGGATATATATGGCTGCTTTAAGTTATCCCCCAAATACCCACCTATATTCGGTATTTTAAACCTTTCTAGCGTCAACAGAATTGGGTTTTAATTAATGTTAGGGATTCTCATTCAGCAACGAATTATCAAAAATGATAAATATTGAATTACGTTTTAGCGTAGCTCCCATATAACGGCATCATAAAAAGGCTTTAGCGACTTGTACATTGTTTTTTTTTCTATATGTCAATGTTTTCCCGTATAATGATAGCGCCACATTGTCATTAGTTCAAATGTTTTAGCAGCATTTTTCCAAAATAGTGGTTATAATTTCGAATTTCGGAATATTGTCTCAATTTTTGCGGAAAATCGTAGTTTTGATATAGGCAACACAAAAAAGTTCCGATCCATTTTCGGTATTATTAGGTTTTCAGTTGAATTAATTATTTATTAATCGAAGTGGTTGTGGTTTATCATATCGGAATCGCAGTGTAAAACTCTTGCTGTACTCCTAACTTCTTCAGTTAGTATGAAACCACATCGTAGGTCATCCACATATTTGAATTGTTTCTCTGAATTGTCCTCCATAAAGAATTGTCTATATTTAAATTATGATTGCTTTTTTTTTTTGCTCCTGCTGGTGATGTTCATTCTAATGACAACGGTTTTAGCTGACCGTATTCGAACAGGAATGTCCCACCATATCAACGAAGTTGGTAATAAATAACTAAAGATCAACCGTTTGGTTGTTGAATAACTCCATTGATAATGTCATCAGGCGTTTCTATTATGTATACATTTCCTTTACTTCAGAATATCTTTGTGACGTTCCTATGCTATATTCATATATGCCACGACCCAAATATTGGCATTCCCAGCTAACATCGGATATTAACAATGTCGTTCTTCTGGAACGAGTGTGACACACACTAAACACCATTCTCAGGCGGTTTGTTTTGTTGGTTCCAATGAATTGGAAAAAGCTTCGTTTCTGTTTTATCTGCTTTGTCGACACAATCTACTTGTAATCCGTGAGATTTTGAAATGTTGGATATAGCCAACAATAACAACAACCACAACAATAATTATGGCTAACAGCTTAAGCTCAATCAACCTGAATATCAAACAATACCGCTCACCTCGAACTCGAAACTAACTATAGAAACCAATACAATGACAACAAATCAAAAATGTTGAAGAACGTTTTTTCTCTCTTTAGTTATTCAAATTTCGCATCACCTGAAACCACTTTATGCGACGTAATAAAAAATGTCATTTTGACACTTTTGACATGCCATAAATAGTGACAGCAATTTAATTGTCAGTTACTCCAATAAAGCCATACCATACCATACCAGAGACTGGTTCAAACCATGCAATACGATATACGATCGATGAGTAGTGGTAGTAGTAGATGTGGCCACAGAGATGTCATATACATTTAAAAAAGAGCAAGGAGATGAGGCAGAGGGAGAGAGGAAATTCAGTGTGAAAGATTTGTATGCAAAATTAAGTTTTATCATTTGGATGGAAATACAAATGCCATACCAGAAAACTGAAGAATAATATACACCTGGAGATTGCTGATACATTGTATTGATATTTTTAAGTTGTTTGATTTGCAACTCAGTCATTCGTTGTGATTGCCATCAATATTGACAGAGTATCTTATTCATTTTGTTATATCTCGACACTAATTTAAAACTCACTTTTAAGGTCCGCATGATTTGAGTCAACTTTACAATACAACCAAAACAGGCCTAATGCGATTAAAGACAGTTATTTTATGCGGGATTGTAAGCAGCATTTTTGTAAAGCGTCAAAGGGTGTAGAATACAAAAACTGAATAATATATAATGTTTTTGGAAAAACTTTTAAAATTAAACCATTAATTCTAGAAATTAAAAAAAAACTGCAATGTACTGACCTTTTACAGATTGAATACCTTCTGAAAATATTTTATACCTTGGTCTGAAGTGAAACATTTTATATTAATATAAGACATTTAGAAACATCTAAATTGGTAGACTCGGTTTTATAGTGTCTATTTCAAATTATGAACTTATAATGGCACATGCCTTCATCGGAACCCAAAATCTCAAATTACTGCAATTTTTATACCCTTTACCACACTGTGGTACAGGGTATTATGTCTTTGTGAATATGTTTGTAACAGGCAAAAATGATCGAGATAGACCCATGGTTCCTTTTGAGAATATGCATAGAATCACTTTCTGAGTCGATATATGCATGTCCGTCCGTATGTCAATGTTAAATTGTAAAAAAAGTACAGGTCGATTTATAATCCGAATTGGATGAAATTTGGCAGAGCTCATTTGTTTGGCCCAAGGACGAACCCTATTGAAATTGGAAAAAAATCGGCTCAGATTTGGATATAGGTCCCATATATATTTTCGTCCGATTTAAAGTAAATGGGGTACCAAAGTCCCTATATATATCATTCGATTTTCACGAAATTTTGTATTGAATTAGGTCTAGAATGACGTGTGCTAAATTTCGTGAAAATCGGTTCAAATGTAGATATAGCTCCCATATATAGTTTCGTACAATTTTTATGTAAATGGTGCACCAAAGTCCCTGAAAATCATTTGATTTGCACGAATTTTGGCATAGCGTATTAATTTAAGTCTAGAGTGACGTGCGCTAAGTTTCGTGAAAATCGGTTTAGATTTAGATATAGCTAAGGTATATGGTGCAACAAAGTACCTAAATAGTTTTCGATTTGCACGAAATTTGGTACAGCGTACTGAATTAAGCCTAGAATGATTTGTGCTAAGTTTCGCGAAAATCGTTTCAGATTTAGATATAGCTCCCATATATAGTTTCGCCCGATTTTAGGTAAATAGTCCACTAAAGTCCCTGGAAATCTTTTGATTGGCACGAATTTTAGCACAGCGTAATGAATACGGTCTATAATGATGTGTGCTACGTTTCGTGGAAATCGGTTCAGATTTAGATATAGCTCCCATATATATTTTAGGTAAATGGTCTACCAAAGTCCCTATATATTTTTCGATTTGCACGAAATTTGGCACAGCGTAATGAATGATGTGTGCTAAGTTTCGTGAAAATCGGTTCAGATTTGGATATAGCTACCATATATAGTTTCGCCCGATTTTAGGTAAATGGTGCTCCAAAGTCTCTGAAAATCATTCGATTTGCACGAACTTTGGCATAGCTCATTGAATTAAATGTAGAATGATGTGTAAATTGTGCACTTAAGATCCACAGCTGGGCTGATCGACACAACGTACTGAAATTAATATAAATTAATCTCTGGCAAGTGTGCTTCATATCGGTTCAGATATAGATATATCGTAGCATCCATAAATAATTTCGACTTATTTATTGAGATTAAATGTTTAACAGTGCAGCATACCGAATAGCGTGTGTCAAGTTTGCTTTAAATCGATTTACACAAATCTGTCCCACTGTGTGCAAACGAATCTAAACTTGCCCGAACGAAATGAAATTTAGCACTGGTTCCAGAAAGACACACACATCACATTTTAATTTCGTTCAATTTCATGGCAAAATTCCTTCAAAAAGGGGACGTCTTTTCGTATACATATGTAGAATATACCCAAAGTGAAGGGTATTATATAGTCGGCCCAGTCTGACTTTACTACTTTCCTTACTGGTTGCATCTTAAAATAGTTAAATTGGGATTATGTTGAAAACTATGGCTAGGACCTTCAAGCTATTTGAAATGGCGGGGTATTTTTATAGGGGCTATGTAATACATGCGGTTAATAAATCGAAAAAAAAAAAATTACAGACACTTTGGATAAACAAATGAAATCAGCTCAGTAAAAGCACAAAAAGTGTTGAGTAAATTTTTATGGGGGTAAAGCATGGTCGACTATACAAGATCTGATAAAAAATAACCGATTACCGCCGATGAAAACAAGGATTAACCGACTTTCTTTTAGTTCGTAAATATTACAATTCTTTTATTAAAAGAAACAAACTCTGCATTACATTCCACTTATTTGCTCTTCTATTTCCTTTTTTTCAGATATCATTTTATCCTGTGGACACAAATTTTACAAGGCAGTATTAGGATACCTCCTCCCCTCGAACTGCAACACACAAAATGCTGATTGCGGTTACACTAACTACTAAACAATTCATAGAATTTTTAAATATTGCTCAAAACCAACAATCACAACAGTCTAAACAAAAGCAGCATCAGCAGCAAAAACAATACCATAAAATAATACAACGAACAAACACAACAACAACAACTACGGCAACAACATTTCTAGTCTTGCAGAAAATTGCTAACAGCAAATATCGTTTTAATGAATATTAATCAAGAAAAACAACAACAACCACAACATCAACAGCAGCATCAGCAACATCAACAAAAACATTACCAACAGCATCAATCCCACCATCACCAGCAGCAACATCACGAACCACAGTACACCTCATTGAACGGATTCCAACAGCGACATTCAGCGGCCACAACACAACATTCATCATCGTTGCCGACCCTTAACCAGACGCCCGACTTCGAATTGGAATATCTTAAAAAAGCGCATGCGCATGCACAGGCAACATTGGCCTACAGCTACGAACGTCAGTTGCAGCAACATCAACAGCATCTGCAACTAGAAGCCCAACAACGACAACAATTAGCTTCTCAACGCACGAATTTCGAACACGAATATATTGACAAGTGCAGCACCCCCGCCCCCAACCCCACCTTCAATATTCACCATCAATTTGTTGCTGCTACCGCTGCCAGTCCTCATCATTCATCACCCACATCGGTTAGCTCCTCCATGGTTATGTCACCAAGTCGGCGACCTTCGCCACCCAGAGCTGCTGCACATCCCATGAATATGCATTTAAGCGCCATGGCTCATGCACAAATGCAATTTCAATTACAACAAAAATTAACTGCAGCAGCTGCAGCGGCCGGCAATGGTGGTCACACAGCACATGGCGGTGTAGGTCTTGCTCCACCTCCGGGTCATATGGGTAGCTACTTTCGAAATCCAGCCTCGCCGGCAGGTAGTGGGGGTACGACAGCGACAAGTACCACAACCAGTACCACACAAAGTTCCAGTGCTTCCAATAGTAGTAATTCTTCATCCACAGCTCCCTGCAGTACGGGCGCCGGCACAAACACTCCCACATCAACAATGGCCTCGGCCCATAATCCATTGAACCACTTGCAAAGCATGCAGCCGTTTGATTTTCGGAAAATCAATTCAGCTGCGTTGGGAGCATTTCCTGGTCTTCCACCACCGGCTCGCTTAAGTCCCAGTGAACTGGCCCATCATCAACATTTACAGCAGCAAGCTGCTCAACAGGCTGCAATGTTGGCCCAAGCAAGGCGTCGCATTAATGAGGCGACCACACCTGCGGAGAAAAATGCCGCAGTGGCAGCAGCCGCCGCTGCTGCTGCTCAGAGTAATCAATTTTTCAATGCTATGGCAATGTCGGGTCATCCACTACCCTTCCATCTTCCACCACCACCTCCGCTGCCTCAATTGCATCCACCTTCACCAGGCTCCTCTGGTAGTGCAGGGCCTAATGCGGGTTTGCCTCCAGGATTAACTAGTAATCAAGTTGCTGCTATAGCAGCGGCTGCCGCAGCCTCTGGTAACCCTATGCCTCATGGCTTTTTAAGTTCGCATTTTCCCGGTCTTAATCCTGCCCTGACAATGGGAAAACCACCACATCTTTCCAAGACTCCTGAACTGGATAAACAGAAAATGTCCGACATGAATCATTTGCGTGATTCTTCGGGCTCAAGACGGACACCACCGGCTCGCAGTATGTCACAATCTTCACATTCTAGTGTGGCTGTGACGCAACAGTCATCATCGGCTGCATCATCATCGTCGTCAACCTCACTGGGACATCAACAGTCTCCAAGTCAATACCAAAGTCAACGAGATCTTAGAGATCCGAATCATAGTCATCGCAACTCCCTACAACATGAAGCGCCTGCAGTCCCTAACCACAGCCAGAGACTTTCACGTATATCGTCATCAACGTCCGCATTACGTCCCGGTCGTAAGGCACATTCACCGGGCAAACGGCAATGGGGCTCACTGCCAGCCAATTTGGGTACGCAATTTATCAATCCCGTAACGGGAAAGAAACGTGTCCAGTGCAATGTCTGCCTCAAGACATTCTGTGATAAGGGAGCACTGAAAATCCATTTCTCAGCAGTGCATTTAAGGGAAATGCACAAATGCACCGTGGACGGTTGTAATATGATGTTCAGTTCCCGCAGATCGCGTAATCGTCACAGTGCTAATCCCAATCCCAAGTTGCATTCGCCACACTTAAGACGTAAAATATCTCCACACGACGGACGTAGTGCTCAACCGCACCCGTTGCTGTTACAGCCACCGAATGGATTGATGGCGGGCCTTAATCCCTTTGGAAGCTTCCCCATGCTGACACCACCTCCTGATATGCGTCATCACCCTATGGGTGCTTTAGGCGATCATAAATATAACCCTGAACTTATGCAAAGGTCGTATATGGATGCATCGCTTATGGGCCGCTATGAGGGCAGACAAATGCCCATCTCTGAGGTCATGGGAGATGATGATGACGACGACGATGGCATGGATGGTGGTATTCATATTGGCGATATTGACGATGATGATGACGACGATGATGGAGAGGGCATTGTCGTTGTCGGCGACGAAGGTGACAGTATGCTGGATAAGACAAATTCCGAAGACTTTAGCATAGAAGACACAGGAGCCGATGAGAGCTCTTCAACAATGGGTGGTGGTGATAATAGCCGAGATCATTTCGATCGCTCACTATATTCCAAAACTCCCACAGAGTATTTCAAAACCAAAGATAAACAACAGGATCTGAACAAAAAAGATGACGGCGACGCTGAGGATGGTCGTAGCACAGTGGAACGACATAGTACCGAGAGTAATGACGATACACTAAGTGTTACGGATTCGTGTAGTGTAAGAGAGGACTATGAGGGTTCATCGACGGCACATTCGGCCCAACACAATGCTTCAAATGGGACATCGAATGCCACCAACTCCGCTAGTAAACGTAAGCGTAAGAATCAAAATCCCGTGCGATGTGCAGTACAATCAACTGAAAATTCCTGTGATAATTCCAATGATTATGATGTGGCGAATGATTTAACGATCAAATCGGAGACGAGAGATGGCGAAGAGCAGCGATCACAAATCAAAGAAGAACCACGGGAGGATGAGGATGACCCCATGTCGTTGGATTTGACAAAACGAAGTCGTAAAACGGAGGATCCAACGGCGGAAAGCACAAAAGTATTACCCTCACCACCGTTGACGCCCTCAACATCAGTCAGTGAAACAAATAGGCATAGCGCTTTGTTAGGCAATCTTCCTGTTAAACTAGAACCTCGGGAAGACGGTGATATGGAATCGTTAGCGAAATCAAAGGGAGAATTGCACGAAGAAGAGACTGTAAAAGAATCTTTAGATTTATCAAACAATGAAAGTCGAGAAGAACATCCCAAAGAAAATGGAAGTTATTCGGGTCTATTAATGCCTGTTATTAAAGAGGAGCCAAGAGATGAGATGGCCAGTGAAAATCAGATTGCAGACGAACCCGAAGAAGAGAATCGTTATTTGAGAATTAAAAAAGAACTTATGGAAGATAATTTCAAACTGAACATATCGGCGGAAGATAATAATAATCTGCCTGAAAATTTAACCACCACCAGCACTCCCACCAGCAAGTCCCTCGCCAGTGAAGGTAAACAATTACCAGCGGATGAACAAAATGGCGGAGAATTTATAAGCGAGGATGCCGAAGTACCCATTGACAAAGATAACCCATTGAAATGTACAGCCTGTGGCGAGATTTTCCAAAACCACTTTCACCTCAAAACCCATTATCAAAACGAACATTTGAAGTTGCATCACAAGTGCAACATTGATGGCTGCAATGCAGCCTTCCCGTCGAAAAGAAGTCGTGATCGGCATAGTTCTAATTTAAATTTACATCGTAAATTATTATCAACCAGTGATAATCATAACTTGGATCCTCTACCCGAATCAATGATGCTCAATAATAGCAAGCATTTTAATGCTCCTCCACCCGGGAATAATATTTCCACCTCATTGCAGGCGGAATTTTTGGCACGCCTATATGCGGGAGCCCATGGTTTGCCGCCTCTGAATTTTGAAGCTCTCAAACAACATTTCCCCCCGGCTCAGCAAACGGCAATGCCTACATTTCCCGATGCCACAGCGGCCTTTATGAGTGATCCACGATTTCTAATGCAACACAGTGGTAATCCATTACTCTTCTCAGGTCTTCCTGGACTACCCGGTTTCCCCCACCTATCACCTCACCTACTAGCAGCCAGCTCGTTTAATGGACTGAATCCATTTATGGGACGTCGGCCCTCATCCGAATCACATTCACCACAATCGATAACACCACCAGTGGCAACAACAGTTCGTTCACCCCTACTAACAAATCAAAAAGCTTCCAATATATACGGCAACAGCAGTAATAATAACAACAACACTAATGAACAGGATTTACGAAATAATCCGTCACCAATACCACAATCCACAACAGATGGCTCTGTAAATCAACATTTGTTGTATGGAAGTGGAAGTGGTGGTAGCAGCACTAGTTCCTCTCAGCCAATGAATTCCCAACAACATTTAAATCCGCATCATCAGCAGCAGGCGCAACAACAACAGCATCCGAATTCTTCACCGTCAACCGATCATACATCATGACCCTCTCCTCTGCAACATCACTCATCATCAGGACACTTTCTCTCACATCATCAGATGCACTATTCCGAGTTAATGGCTTACAGACAGTAAGACTTGTAGATTAATGATAACAGAATATGATATATATACAAATAAGGGTGCAATATTTAGAATAACGACAGAAACAAGAACCTGGTTTGGTTTGACCTAAAATAGGGTTTGCCAAAAAACAGAGAATTTGAAAAATTTACTTTCACTGTGGTTGCATTATTAGATAAGTTTAAAATATAATTTTCTTTTCCATATTTTTTCTTTTTTTTAACTTCCGAATATGTATTTCCAACACAAAGGTCGGAATTGTTAAACATGTATGTATCAATTTATATTAGATCGGACCGAAATTGTTATATCCTCCTGAAATAACTGTTATCTTTCAATACGTTTTATATGGTGGGTTCCTAATAATTTTTGGTAGGAAGATTTGAATCCCAATGAGATCCAAATGGCAGCAAATTTGTTTAAAAACTTGTCCAAAAAATAATAATAGGTTATCCATAAAAGTGTATCAAGACCGACAATTTTTGGCGGGTATATTTGTTACCCAATGAGAATTCTATATACTACATTATAGCCAATTTGGTTGAAAAGAGAGTTCAAACTCACCAAAATACCGAAATTGGGAGGTACTGATATATAGGGGGATTTCTGTAGAAATCTTATAGCCAAATTTTGTTAATACACGTTACAAAAATCCTCCAAATGCCAAATATGTGCCGTTGTATAGGGGCTAACACAAGAGTGGACCGATTCCCAGCACAAAATTTCTATAATGGTCCATGTTCTGACATAATTCCCATATATGAGTAACTTGTTTATGTATGCTGAAAGTTTTAGCCATTTCCTCACAGAAAAAAAGCCACCCCGAAATTTTTGATTAAAAGCTTCATCAGCGTTCGACAAAAAGATGTCGATAACATATTTCAAACGTAGTCGGAAATGTTTATCAAACACCAACAATTCACAAAAAAAACCATCAACAAACGAGTTTGACCAAAAAAATTATTAAATTTGTTGGACACTTTTTAATAATTTTTTTTTTGTAATATGCCATATTATTTTTTATTACATTATTACAAAGTACTTTGTTGAATAGATTGTAAAAGATGGATAACAAATATAAGTTTTAATTCAGTATAGAGCTACACATTTAGTTTAAAGCCGTTAAAATACTGAAAATTTTGATATTTTTGTGGGAGAGCTGTAATAATAAGGGTAAAAATCGGCAATTGCTGTTTAAAAGGTTTTGTTTAATTTGAAATAATAATAATAATTTGATAAACAAGATTGTCAATATGAAAAATATTTTATCGATTAACAAAATAAAATTCAACAAAATTTTTAGTATATATGAGAATTGCTTTATCAAAATATTTTCGATTGGGATTACAATTTTTTTATCGGCGATTGTAAATATGAACATTATTTTAATCGGCGAAAAATCAATCAAATTTTAATTGGATTTTTGAATTTTTTATCAAATGGTTACAATTTTTTTTCTGTGCTGCAACCAGAATTTTTTTAAGTTGATATTCCGTATTCTCTGGGTATACAATTATCCTAGCACTCATATTGCCTAAAGGTACCCCAATATTTTAGGTATTTTGATATTCTTAAGTGACAGTAATTTGCTATTTTAAGCTCTTAGTAGAGCAACAGTCGCCAAATAGATGGGAATATGTCCATTAACGGAAGTTCCAACCGAAGTAATATGACATTCCTGGTTTTTGGTAGGATAGAATTTGTTTTTGCTTCTGGCCAGGGTGCGCAAAATTTCGCTCGCGAATGATTCAAAATACTTTCCTTTCGTTTTGGGCTCATTTTACGAATGAACTTATCGCGATAAATTCTTTACCAAACGACCATTAATATACCCACCATAGTATGGGGGGTATATTAATTTTGTTTTTCCGTTTGTAACACATCGAAATAATCATTTCCGACCCTATAAAGTATATATATATATATATTTATTGATCAGCGTAAAATTCTATGACGATATAGCCAAGTCCGTCTGTCTGTCCGTCTGTCTGTTGTAATCACTCTAGCGTCTAAACGAATTGAGCTAGGTCGCCAAAATTTAGCATAGAGTCGTCTTTTGTCTGCAGGCAGGCCAAGTTCGAAGATGGGCTTTATCGGTCCACGTTTAGGCATAGCCCCCATATAAGGGTACCCCCCAAATTTCGGTATTTAGAGGTTCTTGAGCGTGTTTTTCAACTGAATTCGCTGAAATTTGGTACATTGAGTTTTTATTGGGTAGCAAATCTCTCAACTAAAAATTATAAATATGGGTCCATTTTTTCGGATTGCCCCATATAAGGGTACCCCTAATTTTGAGGTATTTTGATCGCATTTTTTGACCGAATTCGCTGAAATTTGGTACAGGGGGTTCTTATTGGGTACCAAATTTCCCCACTAAAATTTATAAATATAGGTCCACTTTTTCTGGTAGTCCCCATATAAGGGTACCTCCCAATTTCCAGTTTTTGGGGGGTTTTGACCGGATTTTTTCACCAAATTGGCTGTAATTTAGTAATTTGAGTTCTTATTGGGTTGCAAATCTCTCCACAAAAAATTATAAATATAGGTAAATTTTTTCGGGTAGCCCCCATATTTTCGATATTTGGAGGTTCTTGAGCGCGTTTTTCAACCGAATTCGGTGAAAATTGGTCTTTTGTAGTCGTATATGGTAATAAATCTCCCCACCAAAAATATTCACCCCTTTTTAGGGGTAGTCCCCATATAACCCCCTTTTTTATATTATAATAGTTATCTGATTTGTTCCGTGTGTTGCGGTTGGGTAGTCGTTACGGGGAATAGTCAATTTTTACATCACAAAGACTATTTAGCCATCTGTTGTAAGCATTCCGTTTTCTAAAGATATTGTGATAAAAAACTCAAACTCGGCATACATTTAGGCATCTCCTCAATATAGTGATACCTCCTGAAGAAAAGAATTGAGATAAACAATAAAAAGGGGTTCAAAATTGGCATATACCGACCATTAATTAGGCATAGCCCTCATATAATGATATCCCCAAATATTCACTATTTCCTACACTATGTAATCAAAATTGTTCCCCCTTTAGGCATACTCTCATATAACCTAAATTACAGTAGTTTGAGGATTTCATACTCTACCATGCGTTATCAGTATCAGTCCACTTTTTGGATCCTACAGATTTTGGGAAAAATCCCCATTAAAAATTGCTGAAGTTTGTATTTGGTGTCGTATTTTAATCATCCTCCGTACCCAGCTTCTGGCAAATATTTTTACACTAAATTAAAAGGAGCAACCAATTTCAGGTATTCCGAATGCGCACTTCTTGTTGTCCAAATTTAACGATGTTTTTACTTTTGAAGGGGACTTAATGTTGGACTTAATCCATGATGATTTAAATAGACATAACGGATATATGGTTATATTGTAGAAATTATGCAATGATCAAGAGTCTCAATGAAACCAGACGCATTATCCAAGAAATTTGAGGAATTCGATGCTTTAAAATAGACCCATTATAAGGAACCCACTTTTTGGCAGTAATTTGTCATTTCGGGTTTTCAGAGGATAAAATATTTCATTTATCTTTTGGTTTAGTTTAAAAAAATTTAGACCAAATTTAAAATCTTTTTTTATCAGGAGAAAAATCTATGTCGAATTTGTTATAAAATGTTCGGTCCGCCCCATTTGTTCAGCCTAACATTCATTCCGTTTGCACGTTGATTAATTACATCACTTTAAAAAATCTCCCAATTTAAGACCCAGTACAACGATACCTTCGGATTTTCGATATTTTATTGTTTCTGGAAATGTTTCCAAACAAATTGATTCTGGTTTGACATTTCGAGATTTGATTGGCTTACAAATTTGATTGCCAAAAATGATTTCGATATTATTTTATTTCTCTTATGAAATATTCAATATACATATTCAAAATTTTACATTTCTTTGAAAATCGTTTAAATTTCAATCACAGGTCTTTAATGAAAAAATGTTATCGTAATTTAAAACAAAAGTAATTCCAAACATTTATTTTGTGCTCCTCATAGCAGATTCAGATAATCTTCAAATTCTTCAAAAGTTATTATTTACAAAAATTGTTTCGCATTAATAATATATCACAAAAACCGAAACAAATGAATACAAAAACATTGAAACAAAAGTATTGAAAAAAATTATTATAAATAAATATATAAATTTATGAATACAATTCATAAAATAACATGGTTAGAGTAAATAAAACGTAAAAAAATTATTGAAAAAAAAAAACAAAATTAATTAAAAAACAACAAAGCTACAAGAAATACTCAAAACAAATGTTTTTATCAATTGAAAAAAACGTAAATAAAAAAGTATATACATAAATAAATCAAATCAATCAACACAAACACACACACATACATTAAGTTCAAAAATATAATGAAATAAAAACAATAAAAAAATATTTATATATAATTTGCTAAAATGACCTCAAATACATTTTCGTCTAAACATAGTTACCCTAATTTCTTTGCCTAATAATATAATTGATAATTATTTAAATTTTCCCTAGGAACATATTTTCGAATATATAAATAATATTCTTTGTTTATATTTTCACATAGCTATTTGGCATACACATACATATATTTTCCCCCGGTTTTTAATTTTGTAAGAAATTCTTAAGTGAAATTTTCATGGATATTAGTTAAAATATAAACAATATACAATTTTAAAATATAAATATTATTATTATTAAAATTATTGTAATTATAATTGATATTATGTATTGTAATAGCGTCTATTAGTTATTAAGTGTAATTAATTAAATAATTTAGTAAATATATTTAAATATATAGATCGATAATGAAAAAAAAACAGCTAAAGTCTTAAAATGTTTATCAATAAAACAACAGTGAATAAATTAAAAAAAATAAATAATCGAAATATAATTTAATGATGTCTTTTTATACCCAAAAAGGGT